TCAGCAGGCACCTGAGACTCGGGGATGCTCACCCCACAGGGGCTCTTGCCACCACAACAGCACGTTGGTGACCGCAGATCCCGGGGGAAGCCAGGCCCCACTCCTCCGACTGTCCCCTCGCACTGCTTTCTCAGAAGCACGAGGGATAGCAGTGATTGAGGCGGAAGGATGAACTTCGCGCCAGTGTGGTACAGCATCCCGTGCTGCTCCCAGGATGGGATAACGGGAGTTGGGGTGTTTGGGGAACGCTTCTAGAGGCAGGGGAACGGAACGAATGGCCTGGTCAGCTCTTCCAAAAATGAGCAAGCCGCTGCATCTCAGCGCCCTGGCCTGGAACAGCCAGGACGGTCTGACCTGGGGCCGTAATTCCCTTTGCCTCGGGGCTGTTGTAACATCTCAGCCATGGGTTTCTTGCCTTCTCGAAGCCCCGGTGCATCATTTCCTAGAGTAAAATGTCTGACTTCCCCCAGCTAGGTTCCCTAGGTCTCCCTTTTCTGAGACGTGCCCAGTTCCCCCTCGCTCCTTCTGGGCATGTATTAATGGCGGGGGTTGGGGATGGGAGACTTAACCAGACCAGGGAGACTCCTGAACGTCTTTGGAGCCCACATGTGGGAAGATTCTAGAAGTTGCTGCCCTTTTTTTTTTTTTTTAATAGAAAGAAATGTCCCCAAAGACAGCCTTTTGGAAATTTCCTCAGAGAGGGCAGTCGGGGAGTGAACTCTGGAGCTCACGCTGCCTCATTTCAACAATTACAGCCCACCTGGCCACGCCATCCCCATCCCGGAGAGTCACCCTTTCCCATGCCATACACCCTGCTGACTTCCGGGGGCACCTGCCGTTCTCAATGCAGCCACAAGGTGTCAGGCTTACTTTAACAATGCTTAGACCAGGGTGCTGGCCGCAGGGCCGAGGCTGGAGGTTTCTAGTGGCACCTGGATGCATGGCACCGGGAAGTGGCACCGCCAAACCAGCCGCCCACCGACTGGAGGAATCGCAGGAGGGCACTTGGCCACTCATGCTACTCTCTCCACGCGTGTAGTTACAGCAGGGCGGACGGGGAAATCCTGCACAAGGCCAGTGTTTGTGCAGTCCACACGCTAATAATAATTTCTGCATTATCATGGGAAGATATTACATTTATAATATTAATAAACAGTGATAGTAAATACATAGTTAACATCACTGTGTTACTAAATCCATAATACAGATGTAAACAATATTTCAGTGTCCATAATGAAGCTTGCTGGGATGCAGCCGTGGCCATTCAGCTACGTGCTAACTCTAAGGGCAGAGCCGAGAGCGCCCCAACTGTCTCCTAGCTGGCTCTTGGCAGGTTGCTCAGTGTAAGCCAACAGTAAGTTGGATTTCTCACACTGGGATCGTGGGATTCTTAGAGCCAGTATTTTTGGTTCTTACGGACTAAGATGCTTTAAATAAGTTTTGGCTCTGACTATAAAGGAGAAATGGTATAAAAATTTTAAAAACCTTTAAAAAATCACATCTAGCAGTTCATTATTCAATGAATTCTTAAGTAATTAAAAGACTTTTTTTTTAAATTTAATGGAGTGTGGTCACCATCTTGTCAGAAAATTTCTTCATCCTGTCAGAACTTGGGGCTCACATGTGCACACACACGCATGCACACTCACCCGTGTGTTTCTCAGGCTGCCAAGGACGGGACTCAAACCAAAGTCAGACATCTGAGTTGTGGCTCCCTACACACAGGGCTTAACCTAACCACTAGTGCAGGCCGGCTGCAGACTTTAAAGTTTATGGTGCCATAGATTGTGGGCCTCTTGTGAACTTTAAGTTTGTAATCACTCTTCACTCTCAGTGACGAGTTATGTCTTAGGGTAGAACTCAAGTCGTCCGAGGCGTACACGTCGGTGCACACTGTCTGCGTGCTAAGTCTGTTATTCTCTGGAATCCCACTCTTCAAAGCTGGAGGAAACACGGACAGCCACTAATCCAGGTCCCCTCACGTTCGTGGTGAAGGAACAGAAGCATGGAGCTTTCAGTGACTTACCCCAAGTTACAGAACAGTGGTGGGGTTTGGCCTCCCTGCGTGAAGATAGATTGCTGGGACCAGCAGATGGCGTGTTGGTTACGTCGCTGGACTCCCACATGGCCCACTGTGGTTTGGGTCCTGGACCTGGCAGCTTGGAACTCACACTGGGCATGTGTGCATGGATGCCCAAAATCCCAGGAGGAGAATGGACAAGGGGTTGCGACATGGCCATCCCTCCTGGGGGGCGAGTTTTTGCTTTCTGTCTCTCTGTCTGTCTCTGTCTCTCCAGCGAGCATACATGCCCTACAGCAAAAATATCTCTCTAGAAAAAGGAGATAAGTTGTTTAAACATTTCCTTTGCAAATCTTATCTTTCAATAAAGCCGAGTGCTTACTGTGGGCCAGGCGTTGCTCTAAGGGCTCATTTTGGTTTAATTTTTTCTGCGTGGTTTAGTTTTCTCAGTTACGATAGCTTCCACCTTCTGGGGGTTTGCTGTGGGCTCTGCACCATGTGGACCAGCTCATGAGCTTCTCTCTCACACTGGAAAGGACGTCGTAAACCAAGGAAGCAGGTTTAGAGAGTTCAGTAACTCACTTAGGGCTACCTAGTTGATACGTGGCACAGAGCATGCTCAGCCCAGGCTGAGTTCATAAACCGCCAGTTAAACACACCTGCCGACGAGCGTTCCACGAGTGTTCTCCAGGGAGCTCACCCCTCAGTGGAATCGAGGAGTAAATCGTGGTCATACCGAGCTGGAAGGGACTTGTAGGAGTTCTCTGGGGCTAGTCTTCTTCAAAGGCTTTTTCAAAAGAAGGAAGCTGGTACTTTGTGAAAGATCTCAAAGAAGGGAATAAACGGTGGCTCCCGAGAGCTTAGTACAGCACTTAATTATAAACAGAGCTTTCTGAGTAACAATTCTCGGCTATTTTCTGTAACTTTGGCTATCAAGCGTGACATGACCCAGCACTGGCTGTCACGGAGTGAGGGTCTCCTGGTCCTTACCTAGCGCATAACCGGGCACACGCCCCGGCAGGCCGTGTCTGATCTGGGACATTACTTTGTGTTGACGCTGGCCTTGTCCCCCGGGGCACGCAGGCTCCTGCGGTAGCCACCTCGCGTGGGCAAGCTCCTGTGTGACTCCAGCAACTGCTCTCTCAGCCCTACATAGTCCACCTTTGGAACGTCACTCAGTATCCAGGAAATCATTCATTCATACTCCTGAGGCCACTTCCAGCTCAGTCCCTGCCAAGTCCTAGCTCCTCTGATGGTTTCTTCTGCCTTTCTCCGGCCGTTCTGGTGCCCCCAGTCTCGATCCCAGGTGTACTGCGTCCTGTGATCCGCAGCACTGAGAGCCAGGTCCGGTACCGACTCGACTGATAGTGACGCGCCTTGCTCCCTCGTGAGGTCTCAGTCACTGGGAACAAACGCATACGCAGCGCTGTTGCCTGTGTTTGCATCTCGGTGTCCAACTGCCAAGCATTGGGCCCATGGTTACTTAAGAGATGGTCCTTGTCCCCCCAGGCCCAGGCTGACGGAGGAGGACATGAGGAAGACCCACGCAGCAGGTTTCCCAGGGTTCCATGTGCAGTGCTCCTCAATGGCCATCTGTGATCCACGCAACTGCCAGTAGGAGTTCCTTCGGTGGTCACGCTTGCCTTGCCCCGTGTGACCAGGAGGGGGTGGTGTTGGAACTTGGTGCTTATCCCTTCTCCGTTCCATTTTCAGAGCAACGTTCTCAGAAACTGGAAATCTCTATTACATTATGCGAATCTGGGTCAGTGCTTCGTCAAAGTCGCACAAGTGAAAAGCTGAGTATTCGCCAGGTGTCTTCCAGCGGTGCCTGGAGAAGGCAGAGGGACGTGGATGCCACCGTAGGTGTAACGTGGCTCCTGTTCCTCTTCTTCCTGCGCTTCCTTTGCTTTGAGTCCTGGCCTTCGTTAGACCCGTGTCCCTCACCTGAAATTACCAGGCCTCTAGGAGACCTGGCCACGCCCAGGGGTCTCCAGGGTTTGGGACCACCTTAGTCAGGAGACCACATTTGTGTCCTGCAGTTGGTTTATTATAATGCTAGGAGGAGCTCCCCTACGCTCCGCCATCCATTCTAATCACCAGATGGGAGTCTCGTCACATTTACCGCCGACAATTCATTCAAGAAGAGGCTTTAAAATCTCCCCAACCATGAATCCCATGAACCTTTAAGCAATTTTAATAACACTAGCTGGTCCCAACCTTGCCATGGTTGGACTTAGGATTTTTTGACTTTATAATGGTGCAAAAGTGATATGCTTGCCATAGAAACCATGACCACATTGTAAGCTGAGGAGTGTCATTTTTTAAAGATCTTTCTTCTGAGAGAAAGAGAGAGAGAGAGAGAGAGAAAGGGAGGGAGGGAGGGAGGGAGGGAGAGATCCCCCACAGGGTCCTCATGCCACAGTGGTGGTTTGCACACAGGTTCGGCAGTGCAGAGAGGCTTGGTGACACGAGTCTAGAACCTTCCTGGGCCGCTTCCCCGATGGTACTGCTGCGCCATCATCTGCTTTCAGGTCAAGGAGGCCTTTAAGTGCATTTTGATTCATAGCATTTTCAACTTCCAATAGGTGTATTGGGATGTGATCAGCTCTCTGCGGGTGTTTATTTATTAAACTAATTTGCAAAACAGCACTAGTTACTCCTATCTTAGAGGGGAGGGAAAGCGCGAAGGAAAGGCCTTCAGGGTAGAGGGCGCCTTCTCGGAGCAGATGAGGTGCGTGTTTATGGTGATGCAGTGGCTCGCTGTGAACACCATCCAGGGTTTGTGCACGTGTGGACCGCGGGTGGGAAGTACGGGAAGACGCCTGGCCCACAGGAAGCTTACGTGCCTGTCTGTGGCCGCAGTGTCGACGTCGTGTGTCCCCCCTCCTGGCATGGTGGGGGCTGGGGGGCTGGACAGTGTCTGCCTCCTCTTCTTCTGGGGTGGCCGGAGCTGTCGTCTGACCTTCCACCCCATGGACAGCAGGGAACCCAGTAAGTTACGATGCCCTGGTTGACAGCAGGTACTGCTGGGATGTTTGAACTTTTTCATTGTTTCTGGATAATAAATCCGCTTTGTTGGTTTGCTTTGACTTTTAGACATTCTCTCCTAGTGCAGATTTGGCAGCTGTCCTCGATCCCACTTCCTGAGATTGTAAGAGCTGTTTCTTCCCCGTCGTCTGTTCTGTCTGGTGTTTCCTTATGGTTGTTGGAGAAAGGAGAGAATTCTAAGGCAGGATATGGACCTAGAGGGAGATGGGACCTCAGAGACCCCTTTCCCTAACCTCTTGCTTTATAGATGGTGAGACTGAGAACCGCGAGGGCGTGGTTTGAGCAGAGTCATGCAGCTGGATTCAGGGGGCTCGGGGCGAGAACCCAGTGCCCACTGTGGTGTTCTCTCCAAGCCACACCCAGCTCCACGCCTCTTACAGAGCAGAGCCGAGGTGGCGTGACCCCAGGCAGGACCTGTGGTGGCATGACCCCAAGTGGGATCCGAGATGGCATGACCCCCAGAGCCGTGTGGAGCAGGGCTGACTGCAGAGTCCAGGCTAAGTCCAGGCGGACGTGCTGGTCAGTCTCAACCCCTAACCCTGAGGACTGTGCTGGCTCCATTGTCTGCTCTTGGTGTGTGTGTATTTCAGTAAAAGAATCTTCCGTCATGGAAGAACTCAAAGGACTAGGGAATGAGCCACACTGAGCTGCTTACTAGGGAGTGCCGCCCGTGTGAGACTGGGATCTAAGACTGCGGAGGCATCTTCCGACTGCCTCGAGAGGCTGAGCACTCAGGAAGGAGCGGGCTTTAGGGCAGGGGTGGGGGCACGCAGGCCCGGGCATGTGTGTGGGCCCCAAGCGCCCGGCGCTGCCAGCTTTCTCTCGTATTCTGCCAGGGAATGCCCCCACACATATATACGGGTGATGTCGGGAGGAGCAAGACATCTCCTGGTCCCTCTCCGTCCTTACTTTCTCCTCTCACTCCCCTCCATGGCCGCCCTCTGAGTCTCCCTCTTCTCCTTGGGCTTTACTCAGCTTTCTTTTTCTTTGTTTTTCTCTTCTTCCTTTCTCTCTCTTAGCTCTGTGTTTGTCTCTCTCTCCCTCTTCGCCTTGGGCTTTCCTCAGCTTTCTGCATTTCCCTCTTTTCTCTTTCCCTTTCTCACCTCCCCGTCTAGCCTCTGCTTCCTCCCTTCCTGTGGGAAATCCCGTAAACCTACTCCAGAAGCCATCCCAGACACCTGGACGAAGAGGTGCAAAAGCCATGCCTGCGTTCTGATCATTCGTCTCAAGACAGCCCCCGGCTGGTGAAAGAGCAGGTTAAGGGACCAGCAGTTAGCATAATGGCCATGTCGCTGGACTCCCATGTAGCCGACCGCGACTCAAGTCCTGGACCCGGTGGCTTAAACTCATACCGGGCGCGTGTGCGTGCGTGCCCAAGATCCCGAGAGGAGAATGGAGGAGAAGGGATTGCGGTGTGGCCATCCCCCCTAGGGGGTGATTTCTCTCTTTCTGTCTCTGTCTCTCTCTGTCTTTCTGGCGAGCGCACACACCTTATAGCAAAAACCTCTAAAAAAAGAAAAGAGAGCAGGTTAACTGCCATACACCAGTGCAAGTCCGAGACAGCGCTTTGTGTGAAGGCCGTGGTGAGGAGTGGGCAGCGCAGTGAACGCTGTGGGCGGGGTGGCCTCTCCGTAAGCTGGGAGCTCAGAATAGCAGGGGACGCTGGGTTTTAATGGGCAAGGAGCAGGCTGGGGAATTCACAGTCCGAGTGACGTGTTTGGTGGCTTTAATGAGTGAGAGGGCATCCTCCAAGCAGAGGAGGGAGAAGAGCCACTTCAGAAAGGTGGAGCTGTGAGTGTGGGCACTCACACATGCACACTCGCAGACTCTAAGGAGCCTGGCATGTGTGAGGGAGGAAAGGTGGTCAGTGCGCGTTCCCAGGTCCGGGGCGTGAGGGGCTGCTGTGGCGTGGCAGGCAGCGAGGCTGAGCCAGTGGGGCCCAGCTGCATGGTGGGTGGTGCCATGACACTGGGCTTGCAGCCTGGGACCACACGGCAGACCCAGGTCCGATTCCAGGTCCTACCTAAAGGTTGAGTGTGGTGGTACAAGTGCCTTGGGAAGCTGAGGCTGGCCACGCAACGCAGCAAAACCCTGTCTAAAGATGAGCTGGACGGCCCCAGCTGGGAGGCTAAGGCGGGAGGATCGAGACGTGGGAAGCCCTGTCTTAGAGAAAAATAAAAATAAAATAATGTCAGGGACCAGGGCCTACAGGCAGGGTGTGTTCATGGCTTTGGGGACTGCCAGCTTTCTGCCACAGGGCAGCACAGACGCCGTAGAGACTAAAAGTGCAGGAAGCCACGGGACCGCACTTGTCTTTAGAAAGACCACTCACGATTGCGCACAGCCAGGACTGCGTTAGGGGAGACCGGGTATGGAGCCATGTTCGGACATGACTGCAGGAGACATGCAAGCCTAAGCCGAGGCGGCGGTCGTGCAGGGGAGGGATCAGCCAGCGCCTCTCCGCGTTAGCACCGGTAGGTCCTGTAGTGGGTGTGGGCCCAGGGAGGAGAGATGAGGGATGGGGAAGGCCTGGCTGGGAAGAAGGTGCAGTCGTTCCCACAAGCACAGGGGAGCAGTCAGCTTGGCCTGGGCTTGCAGGGCCTTGTGAGCTCTCCAAGCAGAGGTGGATGCTGGAATGAAGCGCAGGCAGGGGGCACTGAGCAGGTGAGAGAGAGAGAGAGAGAGAGAGAGAGAGAGAGAGGGAGAGAGGAGTGAGGCCCACCTGATGTCTCTGAAGGAGAGGCCAGGAAGGCTCGAGGCCCGGGCCTCACCAAGGGGAAGCCCTTGGGAGAGCTGGGACAGGTTGTGTGCATGTGCTGGTGTCTGGGGCCCTCGTGAGTGAGAATCTGTAGTGGGTGTGGGCCCAGGGAGGAGAGATGAGGGATGGGGAAGGCCTGGCTGGGAAGAAGGTGCAGTCGTTCCCACAAGCACAGGGGAGCAGTCAGCTTGGCCTGGGCTTGCAGGGCCTTGTGAGCTCTCCAAGCAGAGGTGGATGCTGGAATGAAGCGCAGGCAGGGGGCACTGAGCAGGTGAGAGAGAGAGAGAGAGAGAGAGAGAGAGAGAGAGAGAGAGAGAGAGGGAGAGAGGAGTGAGGCCCACCTGATGTCTCTGAAGGAGAGGCCAGGAAGGCTCGAGGCCCGGGCCTCACCAAGGGGAAGCCCTTGGGAGAGCTGGGACAGGTTGTGTGCATGTGCTGGTGTCTGGGGCCCTCGTGAGTGAGAACTGTGGCTCTGTGGCTGAGCCGTGCAGCACCTGCACAGTCACCAGCGGCGACCTGCCCGGGAGGGCCTTCTCTGCCGCCCCCTTTGCTCCCTGCTCCCTTCCCCCTCAGAGTTTCAGACAGCTGGCTCTGGCTGCAGTTCCACCATCAGAACTTTGGTTTTATGTTTGAAAAATACTTTCACCTTTTTTTTTTTTAGTTTTCCAGAGGGTGCATGTACTCACCAGAGGTATTTATTTACTTATTTTTTCTTTTTAAAGACAGGGTCTGTCCATGTTGCGATCTTCCTGCCTCAACCTCCCGAGCAGCTGGGACGATAGGTGTGCTCCAGTGCCGTGACCCCCAGCTTGTAGGGTGGGTTGGGGTTGAACCGGAGCCTCCTAGGTGGCCTCAGCCTGCCAAGTGGCAGTGCCAGCTCGTGTGTCTGCCAAGGTAAATACACGTGAGTGGGAAACATCTTAAACCTGTTATCAGTGATTTTTACCTTAGTGTGAACGAAGACCCCGGGGTCAAATGTTGAGAAAGAGGGGTGGGCTGCATGAGAAGAGAGCTATAGAAAGCAGGGTGCGGGTGGTGGTCAGACAGGGCACGTGGGAGGGGGGAGAGGAGTGAGCTGGAGGAGGAGGCAGTGGAGGACGGGAAGCCCCTCTGGGTTGCCACAGACTGCACGCCTACCTCTTAACCCCCTGGTGAGGAGCAGGAGGCCCGTGGCTCACCTCGGCCTTTCTCGGAAAGGTCGCAGACTCCTGGAGGACTGTACCGCGCCTTCTCACTACAGGCCTCCCAGACGACGCTACTCACGTCACGTGTCCATGTGTCGTCACTGACGGCGGTAAGAGCATTCTCCCTCTTCTGTGAATAAGGAGTCTGGACTCCCGGAGACTGGGTCATTGGGCTGGCACCCCCCAATTAAGCAATGATAGCTGGCCTGGGTTGCTCACCTGCACTCCGGAAGTGGCACGGGCATAGACCACTCCCTGCTCCCTACCTCACGGTGTCAGAAGTTAACTCAGCCCAGCCCTTCCTAACTGTCGGGGATTTCAGACAGTGGCCTCCGAGGGAGAGGAGACCCGCCTCTCTGGGCACAGGGAGATGCTCGGCCTCTAGGAGCTGAAGATGGGCTTCGGAGAGGACACACCTCTCCCGGTTTGATGGGCCACGCCCTGTGGCAGAGCGTGTTCAGAGCTGAGCCCCACGTGGCTAAGGCTGCTCTACAGCCCAAGCTGTGGCCCTCCTCTCAGCTGATCTATGTGACTCCTCGCACTCGGTGCCTCAGCGTGCAGGGAGAAAGTGCAAATGGAATGAACGCAACAGGACAAATGCTTCTTGAATGCCAGTTACTGGTGCCCCTGGCGGTGTGCTCTGTGTCTCCTGCTGCTGCTCCGTCCCTTTCTGTTTTAGACAGGGTCTCGCTATGTTGTGATCCTCCTGCCTCAGCCCCCGAGTAGCTGGAGCCACCAATGCTCATGCCACCATGTCCAGCTTTTGGGGTGGGTTGGAAATAGGACCAGGGTCTTCTATGTGTTCTTCGCTGGCCAAGGAGTGGCGACCCCCTGTGGCATCTTGTCGAAGCTCTAAACATGGAGACCAAGTCACTCGAGGACATCAGGTTAGCTATCTACAGAGCAGGCTCAGCTTCTGGGCGACTCCCAGGCTGCGAACCAGCTTGTGAGGGTGAGTCCGAGGAGTATGAGGAGTGAGAGTGTGGAAGGGAGTTGGGGAAGGGGCGTGTGACAGGGAGCGTACGAGAGAACCCGTGGGGTGCGGACGGAGAACAGAAATGGAAATGGGATGGTCTCGTTGGAGGAAAGGCAGCTGGGCTGGGCCGCAGTAGGGAGGGTTCAGCCTCACGGCCGTCCTTGCTGACACTCAGACTCTGAGTCTCAGTTCTTTCCCCAAGTGGGATGTTAATAAGGCCCACCACTCTCCGTCCCCATGTGGTTTTGTGAAATGCTGTACACGAACTCATTTACAAATGGTATACTATTTGCTGTATTGAGTATATTCATTAGGAAGGAGGGCTGATGGGAGAAACCGTGCTTCTAGGGAGGAATGATGGATTTCCCTTCGGGGCCTGGTCTACCCTGCTGTAGGAGGAGCCCAGAGGCGGCCCTTTACTGAGTGGGATGGTGGGCCGAGGCCCAGAGCAGACCCTCTCTTGAAGCTACTCTTCTGAATGCTGCTGCTGATGCGAGTAGAGAAGACAGGAGCTTATTTGGTAGAAAAAATGATTTGCCTTCTGAGTCCCGAGGCAGGAGCTGAGCGCTTGGTATTCATTTCATCCCTGTTCTAGGCATACACCCTCAACCGAAGGTTGAGGCCAAAGGTGCAGCCGTGTCCTGAACAGCCCAGAGTGCCCCGGAAATGTACACGCTGGGTGTGTAAATCTATAAAATAAGTGACTGAACTGGGGAACCTGCGGGAGAAGGGGTGGCTGGGGAGACCGTGTCGGGGGTTTGGAGTGGAGAAGGAGCCAGCCCAGGCCAAGTCAGGACCCCTTCTGCTAACCTCGTAGTGCCCCAGAGAACAAGCAAGGGAAGTAAGCACCAGGGACACTTCTCCTTACCCCGCCCCGAGAAGCCAGAGTTAAGGACCTCCTCCGAGCACGCTGGGTGGGTCCAGGCCCTGGGCTGTGTATAATTCAGGGGCCTTCGCCGGCTCTTCAGTTGCTTGGTTGTCTCCACGTCTGGAAGAAGACTGTCCAGGGGCTCTGACCTTTGCAAATCAGTGTCTGAACACGCCCCGGGCCTCCGAGGGGCTCTGCTGGGCTCCGAAGCCCGGCCTTCCTGGGTGTGGTCTGCACTGCCCCCTCTGCGGAGTGGGTCTCAGGTCAGACAGGACGCTGAGGGATCTGGACAAAGGGAAAGATGTAAAGCACAAAAGCGACATGCCTGTCCGTCTGTGTCACGTGGCTGTGAGACCCGATGACTTCCTGACAGGGCAGCACAACGACTTTGCTTATCTGAGCTGAGGAATGGCATCTTCTCTTGGTCACTTCTCCCATTAGAACCCTGCCTAGACCCTCGTGTGTCCAAGCCATTCCCCACCCTATTTCTCCTTCATTCTTTTCTTCTGTCTTTGGGAGAACTTCCAGGAAGCTTGCTTTTCCGGGAAGGCAGAAGTCACCCTTGGTCCTGGTGATGGGGACCCATCAGGACCAGGAGGAGAGTAGGTGGGTCTCCAGACCTGTATAAGCCTGTGCTGCTCCTCTGGGCTGACCTGCCTGGACCTTCTCAGACCCACCTGGCTCAGCTGGGTGGTCAGCACTGCCCTGAGGGCTGTCACGAAGCCCGAACTAAGGGGAGGGCCAGGCGGCGGTCGTGCCACTGGATGTGTAGGGGAAAGGCCCCAAGTCTGTCCCGGACCTCCCTGAGGATGCGGGGTGGGCACGCGTGTGCCTGTAATCCGAGCTGGGGCTCAGGGAGGGTCATGGCCTGAAGACTCCAGGGGTTACCTCTCTCTCTGAGTAAATAAACTTAGAAAAAACAAAACTAAAAAAGGAAAGAAAGGAGTGGGTGAGTTTCTGTCATGCCAGAGGGTGTGAGCAGTTAGCTGGAAAGGGCACGTTCGCGTGGAGCACACCTGAGCCGCTGGGGGCCACGCGTGCACAGAGGCAAGGACCGGCCAAGCTGTGCGAGTTACACCCAGCGGCCTCCTCCAGGAGGTGAGAGCCCCACCGGCAGGCAGGGGTGAGGCAGAGGGGACGTGCTGTGTGGGAGAGACGGCTGACACAAGGCTGTGCACGCGGAAACAACAGCTTCTGAGCAGAAGTTGCCAAGCTCACCGGTTTAGCCAGAGTCCAGACTCAGGAGAGAAGAGTGACGGCGAAATGATCGCTGGGCAGCCTGGACGGGGCCTTTCTCCGACTTCAGCTGCCCCAGCTGTGAAACGAGAGCACTGGGTGGGGTTCCTGTAGAGACATGCAGGAAAGTGGCCTTTACAGGGCACAGTGGTGGCCACTATTTCCGAGGGGACACAGCTCACCCACAGGTCTACAGGCTGCGAGTGACTGCCGAACTTAGTCGGCCGCTCTGTCCGTTCCGTGTCCAGGGCCCCGTGAGCTCCACGCTGTGGCAGGCCTGGGGGCTGGCAGGCCGGGACCGGGAG